GTTTGTCTTTTTCTTGGTTGGTGTTTGTCTTGTTCCAAAAAGTGAGAGAATATTTTGTGTTTTCCAACGTTGATCGTGTCTTCACTCAATCCTTTTTCCTTATAGATGAAACAGGAACGAATATGAGAATAGAAAACAGCCAGGGAGGTAAAATTATCTGGACCCTTTTTTATCAAGTTCTAAAGGTATATATTTATTTTTTATTTTAATGTGCCTTTTTTATATATAACGTTCATAGACATATTATTGGTAGGATAAAAAAGCTCAGTAAAATTAGTTATACAAGTTAAGAGTAAAATCACGTTACATTTTAGGATTTATATATTTCTCATTATTTAGTTGTTCTATGAGACACATTTTTTGAAATTTTTGAAGTTTTTATCACGATAAAAATTGATGGCTCAAATAAATTTGTTCCACGTCATATAAATAAAGAGATATATGTACGTCCTAAAATATTGAAATAAATTTGTAATTTTACTCGCAACTAAATTAAATTCTAGCTTCCAAGCAGCCACGTATATATATATATATATATATGTGGATTCCCAGCAGCCACTTTAAACTAAAGTGTGTGAGTTTTTTCTTTTCTAAAGCATAAGCAATTATACCTCTAATGTGTAATCAATTCTCAAAAAATGAAAAATACAAAATAAACTATATATGGTGCCAATTTTCTGTAATGTGTAAGCACTGATCATAAAATAAAAATAGAAAATAAACCACAGGCCAACTTTCCCTCATCGATGACTATTTAGCACGTGTCTTGCCATCACAATTAAGGGAGTTAGTGCTCGAAGGGGGATTAGTGCCCACAAAGGGTCGAGCGTGGCTACATGCTCAAGGTCCCAATGTAGGCCTCAAGGTGACCTCAAAGCCACCTCACGCTTTGACATCAATGCCACCTTACGCTCGAAGCCGTCATCGAACAATATTTAGCTCAACTCAAAGTACGAATGAGCATAGGGCAAAGACACTATACCACGGTCCCATATGAATACACATTGTCGCGTGTGCCAAACTGAAGTGGTCTCACAACACTAGTGTTTATCTCAAGGTGCGAGTAATCCCACTTGACACCAAAATGATCCTTACACCTTTTGAAACGCAACAGATTTGAATCCTCATGGTCTGTTTAGGGTTTCGTATCGTAACGCTTATCCCATTATAATTATTAACACGTCTCTTCACTTTGCACACGCCCTTAGTCACTACCATTAACCTTAACCACCCAACTCCCTTGAGCATCAAAGTGACATTTGGAGGTGGACGATGACACTCCACGAGAAAGCACCAAGATGGATGGTAAAGACGGGAAATGACAACTAGTATTTGGATAACTACACTAGCAACACGTTTAAGCAAAAACGTCACTTTTAGCATCATTTTTTCCCCTTAGTCGTTACATTTGATTTTCTTTAGCCTATTTGAAAGTGTTCATGCTCTAAACTTCGCACATTGCTTTAAAGTTACAAATTGGCACACGAAGAGTAATTATAATTCTCTAAACTCAAACCCTTTAAACTCGGCTTCAGAGCAAGCGGTAATGGCCAATTGAGGCAAAAGACTTTACTTCTGTGAGATAAATATACAAGCTTACTTCTTACATTTAGGCCTTGTCTTGTGAACAGTAAAGACGATAAAGTATCAAATTAGTGTTAGAATAACCACACCAACGACATGTGTAAGCAAAAACATGTCATTTTTAGTTTCATTTTTTTCCCTTTAGTCATTGCATTTGATTTTCTTTAGCCTATTTAAAGTTGTTCGTGCTCTAAACTTTGAACATTGCTTTCAAGTTACAGATTGGCACATGAAGAGAAATTTTATCTCCAAACCCATACAACTCGTTTAGTTTACTGATTCGAGTTTTTAATTCGAATTAAGATGTGACTTTATGTGAGAGTTTTTTACTGTAGCAAAAAAGTTAGATATGATTATTTCTGAAAGTTTTTTACTGTAACAAAACTCGAATTTGTAAAATAAAAGGGACATGAGACTTTATTCTAGAGCAAGGCCGATTAGGACAAAAGACTTTGACTTGTGTGAGATAAGTATACAAGCTCACTTCCTCTCACATTTGGGCTTTGTCTTCTGAACTTTTCGGATCTTCAATAAGCACAGAACTTCTGATATAAATAGAATGCCGTTCCTTTTTTTTTGGGGGGGGGGGGGGGGGGGGGGGGGAATTACCTTATATTATAAACTCAGTCTACTAAATGAAAGATATCTCTTTTATCATATGTTGTAATGTTTGTGGCCAATTTGTTTGATAAACATGTTTATTATCAATTATAGCTCCAGTCAATCGGAAACCTTTCAAACTAGGCTGCTAGATTTAACCAGTAAACAGAGAAGTTTTTATTCTATCTTAACAATGGGGCTCACCAGAATGGTATCCATTGTTTCCACAACTTTACACCGCAAATTAAGCGCAAAACTACCCATTTTTTCTTGGTTCTAAAAGAGAAGTAATTGGCACAATATTCATACAAAAGACTGCACTTTTTCAGTATCCAAGGGGATAGAAATTTTGGTTATATTATAGTTACAAACATGAATCTGTGATCGTCTTAGGCATATAAGTGGGACACAATGTTATAATCTCTCTATCTTAGGTTTTTTTTTTTTTTTTTTGGGGTACAACTCTCTCTTATCATTTACTAATAATTAAGAATACGAATATTTAGGAATAAAAAGGAAAATAAAAAATAACACTAGTTAGCAACTTGGGATTTGAGTACAATGTGTTTCAGCTCTTCACAAGGTATCGGATTTCCCACATACACAGAAAGAAGTGAACTCCCACATGGAAAGCGTACAAGGGTTGACTTTTGGATGCTAATTATAAATAAGAATCGAGGTCGAGCCTAAAAACATACTTACCTGGGCGGGGTCGATGGGCGTTCAAGAAGGCCCATGGCCTAGGCTGGTGACCTCCATTGCACTCCGGAGGGGTGCCCGTCTATGGTCTCCTCATTGCAGGAGAGCCAACGTCATAATTTGTTGCATTGGGGGCCTGCGTTCGCGCGGCCCCTGCCCAATTCCCAGTCAAAATTATATATAAAAAAAAAAAAAAAGTAAATTTTCTGGACATTGTTTCTTAAATCATGATCACCTATAAAAATTTCAGTAAAATTTGTGAAAAAAATCTCTGAAATCACAATCAACCTTAATTTGCCTAATTTCAGTCAAAATATAAAAATTTCGGTAAAATTCGTGAAAATTATCTCCAAAGTTTTAATCAACCGTAATTTGTGATTTGATTAGTTGTCGGTGCTAATTCTTCGATATTAAGCATAGACATGTAGTAAATGGTTGGGAATATTAGCTTTAATTTGGATCCAAAAGGTAATTAGAGAAGTGTTATATGTCTAGTTGCTAAGTTGTTATTGGTGTACAGAATCTGCAAATTCGATATAATAACGAATAGTAAATATTTTGGGTAAAATACGTAAGAGAAGTGGAGTGAAAGGATAGACAAGAAGTAGTTGACGGAAGTTTGGTTGGACAGGCGGCTGGTAGGAGAGTCCCACATCAGAAAAGAACAAGAGGAGGGGGTAGGAGAGAGCGAATAAGAGAAGAAAATGGGCCAACGTTAAAAAATTACATACCTGGACGGGGTCAATGGGCGATCAGGAAGGCCCATGGCCTAGGTGGGTGGCTTCCATTGCACTTTGGAGGTGCACTTGCCTAACATCTCCCCCTAGTGGGAGACTGTACGTCGTAATTTGTGGTTGTGGGGGCTGTGTTCGCGCGGCCCCTGCCCAATTTTCATCACAAAATTTAATATATCTATTATTATTATTATTATTATTATTATTACAACTAATGTAAATATTTATTATTATTATTACAACTAATGTAAATATTTTGTGCATTTAGAACTCATTTTAAAATGATTTTATTTTTTATATGAAAATAAAAACGTTTTTAATTTTAGACATAAATTATTTTTAAAAATACGTTTGATAGTTTTATCTAGAGATTGTTTTCAGTATAAAAAAATCTATTAATATTTCTATCTCTTTCTCTCTGCTAGAGAGAGAATAAAACGAAAATAAAAAATGAAAAATGATTAAAAGTCATTTTTCATTTATCTTATTTTACACTAAATCAAAAAATCGTTTTCATTTTTATTTTTTATCTTTATTGCGCCAAACGCCGTTTTAAAAACGTTTTCATTTTTTTTCTCAAAAAACGTGATCAATTCCAAACATGGCTATATATTTGCATTCCTGTCTGGCTTATTTATGAGAAAAAAACGCCACAATTCAGAATCTTGAAATAAGGAGAAAATTTTATGCATAACAAAGTTTTCAAATTTAAAATTTTAAGTTATCTATTAGGTTATATTTCATATTTAATAGTTAATTTTAAATTTTAAATTTTAAATTTGGCCACACTAATAGTTCTTGAGGTTTATCTACAATCTCATTTTGTTCTATGAATTTTATAACATTGTGCATTTGGTTTATGAGATTTTATTATATTTAAGTTTCGGTCTTTTTGTTAGCTAGGTGTTAAATATTTAACAAAATGTGTAAATTACGGATAAAAATTGAAAACATCTAAAATTTAGGAACTATTTATGGAAACTAATTTTAGTTTTTTTGTATTATTTTAGTCTCTAAACTTCAAATGTTTTCAATTTTGTTTTTTAATTTCTATAGATTCCGTAAAAAATTTAACACCTAAATAACAGAATGATTAAAACTGAAATAAAATAAAACCTCAAGAACTAACTGTGTGACATTTTAAAAGTCAGAAATTAAAGTGAGATTGAAAAAAATTCTATAGAATCATTTGTGAAATTAAGCCTTTAAATTTAGGTCGATGTTTATCTCGTATGATTATTTTGAATTTAGTTTAAGTTTTGTGGTATTAGTTTTAGAAGTAAATTCATTGACAATTAACGAATTTTGAGATTATTGCTTTTCTTCCTCTTCCTCTTGTGTTCTAATTCTCGTTCTAATTCTATCTATTTTGGTTCTCTCTCTTTTATTTTCTTGATTCTCTATTCTCTCAATAACTTATAATTAAGATTTCTCTTGTAAATCAGTGGAAAGGGTTGGTTACAGTTCCCCATTAGCACGGTCCAAATTTTAGTCTAAATTCCTCTCACTGGACATAAGAATGATTAATTTCACTACACTTGAGAATTTACAAATTTGATTTTTAATTAATTGGTACTTTTATAATTGAACAACATTTTTTGCATAACGGTGAAGCTAGACTCGACTGGGCGTATTAAACTAGAGAGTGATTCGTGTCCGCCTGAATTGAATGGACCCAATTCTTCATGTCATTTAGCGTGGAGGTTCTATATCAAACACTGTTATTATCGAACGACCTTTATTTAGAAGGGCTTCGAATGTCAACTTCTTTTCAACAAGTACTCGGTGGATTGGGTAGAAGATAGACCCAATGGCAGATTTAAATACACTCAAACTTTTTTTAAAAAAAATATTACTTTTAAAAATTTTAAAATTTTATACTTAAATCTCCACTAGAATAATATATGTCTGCATTAAAATAAATATATTTTCTTATATGCTCTCATTAAGATAATTTGTTAAAAAAATTTAATATACACTTTTACTGAAGTAAAAGACTAACTCCGTCACTGACTGAACTCAACACTTGATCGCTTACTACTAATGGGTAAATTGAGTAGAAGAGCAACGACAATTTGGTAACATCAATTTGGGTAAATTGAGTAGAATAGCACACACCAGGCAAAAGGAAATTTCTTTTTGATTTAACAACTTTTGCTTCTAAATTACTTTGAAATCTGAACTTTAAAGATGAAAAAAAGCCCTCTCTCCTCCTCTCCTTTGAAGCATTGGGACATCGAACTAGAACCTGAATTTTGACCAGTAAAAAAA